GTCGCTACTGTATCCTAAGGTTGACAACGGAAGACTGTAGTATTCCAACATCATGGGATCGATCGTTAACCCTCCCTGTCAACTCTCGTCCCATATCGTCGACCCTCCCTGTCAGATAGTCGACCTTCCCTGCCAGATCGTCGACCCTCCCTGTCAACTCTCATCCCAGATCATCGACCCTCTCCGTCAAATCTCGTCGTAGCGCGCCGACCTCCTCCGCTATAAATCTAGTTAAAAGGGCATACAAATCATCACTGTGCCTCGGAGACACACGGGGGAGGGGTGTCTGGACGGAGGTGATGCCAATGGCGACGGCGATGGCCCCGGCGGAGATGATGCCACTAGCGGCGGTGATGCCCCGACGGAGGTGATGCCAATGGCGGGGACGATACTCTCGGCGGAGGTGATGCCAATGGTGGCGGCGATACCCTCGGCGGAGGTGATCGTCGATCAGCTGGACTGCCCTCCTACATAAATAAAATTAAAAACTATTCAATAAATTATTCAATAAATTTATACATCGACGATATTCAATAAATTATATTTCATTCACATACCCCATCTCAGTCCAAGCTCGGGTCAGACATCTTCTCGTCTAGGGTGTGCGGAATGCCTAAATCCCGCACAAGACCCCGAGCCTCCTCTTCCATCGACGGTATCAACTCAAGTATGACTTCAAACTGACATATTGACATTTCAACTACTTAACGATCATGTAAACAAAATTTTAAACTACGTATAATATAAATCACAAATGCATAATACTTACCTGAGGATCGTCGAGGAGGGCCGATAACTGCTTCCCAGTGGGACATCCCTCCGCTCGCGATGATCTCCAATGATGCATCCGAGGGCAGCATGTCTCCTCTCACTGCGCAAAGCGGGCCCCAATACAGGAACTGCCTCACATACCCAAATCTGTAATACATACACTTATTAAGCATCAATGTAATATACTAAAACTTTAACTTTGATTATATTAAATATTTACCTGCACCGCGAAGGGCAATCCATATGTATCGTATTTACGCATCGACCCCTTGGGCCTCGAGTGCGATTTGGTGAACACATGTAGGGTGTCTTCGTAGCATCTCCGGCCCCATGGATAATTGTTGAACGCATCGATGTCGTCAACAACTTGCAAATGAAAAATGTCGATGGCAGTCTTCTTGTGATGACACCTCATCACACTCTCAAGGATGTAGACCGGCCCAAACTTCAATCTATCTGGCATATGGTCGCACCCCCTGATCGCGACCATCAAGTCGGGTAGAAGCATCGACCCATGTCCCTGAAAGTACGTCTCGTACAGCCTATTGCTTCTCTCCATGGCTGCATCGTCGCCTGTAATCCTCAGTCCAGTGATCAATGTAAACTCAAACATCGAGAAACTGACAACCTTGCCCCCGAGGTCGAACTGGAGGGAATTGCTGTCGACTGGCCTCAGAAGCCGACATAGAAGTGCATCAATGATCTGTCCTGAGTACTGCACCTCTCGCAACTGGTACAGCGGCCACAAGAAGGACTGTCGTAGCATATCTCCGTGCCGATCATCGAGCAGCTCCAACACAGCAGTAAAACTCTCAAAGCTACTGTTCCAAGTAGCTTTCCCCACCATCTGTCTCAACTCTGCATCTAAATGATACTTCATTCTGCAAAAATTCAAATGTTATAGTATTGAACAAGAGATAACAAAAAAAAGCATAATCTCAAAAAATCAAGGGAATCGAACTCTAACTACCATATAATCACAAATATTACATTTGGAAAATATATTTACAAAAAATAACAAATCAAATTAAATGTATTGTCAAAAAAATTAAAGAATATAAATATTATTTAAATAAATTGAAAAATAAATCAAAGATTTTCATAAAAGAACAATAAAAGGAACAAAACAAATTATTAGTTTCGAACAATATTATGTATTCAATTATTAAATTATATAAAAAAAAGGCAATTATAAAAATTAAATAATTAAATAAAATAATTATTATTTGGAAAATATATTTACAAAAAATAACAAATCAAATTAAATGTATTGTCAAAAAAATTAAAGAATATAAATATTATTTAAATAAATTTGAAAAAATAAATTAAAGATTATTTCATAAAAAAAAAGGAACAACACAAAATTATTAATTTTAGAATATTTCAATTATTAAATTATATAAAAGACAAATATAAAAATTAAATAAATAATTACTTTACATTTTCAAAAAATGTAAAGACTATTTATATTATTTAAATAAATTTGAAAAAATAAATTAAAGATTATTTCATAAAAAAAGGAACAACACAAAATTGTTAATTTTAGAATATTTCAATTATTAAGCCCCCGTTTGGCCCCCATTTTCTAGAAATGAAAATGGATGGAATAGTATTTTTTTGAAAAATAAGTGGTTGAAAAGGAAAGAAATTTTTTTGATTTACGTGTAATATTATTTTATAAAAGATTGTGTGATTGAAAATATGAGAGAGAAAAATGAAATGTAATGTAATAGAACTTAATGGGGGCCAAACAAGGGTTAAATTATATAAAAGACAAATATAAAAATTAAATAAATAATTACTTTACATTTTCAAAAAATGTAAAGACTATTATATTATTTAAATAAATTTGAAAAAATAAATTAAAGATTATTTCATAAAAAAAAAAGGAACAACACAAAATTGTTAATTTTAGAATATTTCAATTATTAAATTATATAAAAGACAAATATAAAAATTAAATAAATAATTACTTTACATTTTCAAAAAATGTAAAGACTATTTATATTATTTAAATAAATTTGAAAAAATAAATTAAAGATTATTTCATAAAAACAAAAAAAATAAGGAACAGCACAAAATTGTTAAGTTTAGAATATTTCAATTATTAAATTATATAAAAGACAAATGTAAAAGTTAAATAAATAATTACTTTACCTTTTTTTAAAATGTAAAGACTATTCATATTATTTAAATAAATTTGAAAAAATAAATTAAAGATAATTTCATAAAAAAATGGAACAGTACAAAATTGTTAATTTTAGAATATTTCAATTATTAAATTATATAAAAGACAATTATAAAAATTAATGAATAATTAATTTACATTTTCAAAAAATGACACTATTTATATTATTTAAATAAATTAAAAAAAATTAATTAAAGATTATTTCATAAAAAAGGGATCAACATTGTTAATTTTACAATATTTCAAATGTTATATTATATTGACAATGATAAAAATTAAATAAATAAATAACATAATTACTATTTAATCAAATAAAAATTTTAATTAATTACAAAAATTATAAAAAAAATAAAAATTAAATATATATTTTTTTGACAAAATAAAGCAGATTGTTAAACGGTCTGGCCCGACTATTAATAGTCAACAAGATTGTTAACAATTTGGGTTAACAGTTTGGGCCGACTGTTAACAGTCGGTTAGCCGGAAATCGTCATTGTCGATGACAGAGCTCCAAAAATTGCAAAAAATCCACATTTTTCACACTCCTAGCATGCCTACAATCTAACTACTCATGCCTATGGATCTAATTAAACCGAATAATGTAAGGAAAATGCTAAATTTACTTATTCAATAAATTTTCTACTGAAACAAAAAGTCATCATGAAAACTAACCGGTTATTTTATTTCCGGTGTAGATGAAGGTCGTTGACTGCGATGTTGGTGTAGTTACCGGTGGTTGATCGGTCAAATTTCTGGCGACTGTACGTCGATTTCTTTTTTGTCGGTCGGTTAGACAGAATTTTTCAAACAGTTTGAAGGGTATAATCGTCTTTTACTGTGAAGTTTTTTTTTTTTAACTTAATTTTTTTTTCTTTAATTCATTTAACGGGTCAAAGGCCAATGTCAAATTTTACTACAGTGGAAGAGCCATTTTCGTGTATTTCCTCTTTTCTGCCCATGTCCTGTTCCAAATCTTCTGTGACTTTTGATCCGCTACCGACAAAGAGTATACAAGATTTAAAGATTGTTTGGGAGTGATTTTTCCTCCAAAAAATTGATTTTTTACCGTTATTTCACTATTTCAACCGTCATATTTGAGTTCTTCTCTCACAGGTGGGCCTCACTTTTCTTCTATTGTTACAAAATCAATTATTAAAATCACTCCCAAACAGGCTCTTATTATATGCGTTCTTATTTATTTCAATTGTAGTAAAAAAATATGTATAAAATTTCAACATATGCTATTCACCAGACGTGATAATACCCATTTTGGAAGCCTCCAGTGCCAAAGTCACTGAATGGGTAAGTCGTCTAGATTGTGTAATCTGTTGGGTTACGGATAGTAGGTCTCACCGGTTATCTTTGATTGGGTCGTTCTACGTTCCATCTTTGGATTAGATTGATAGAACCGTGTCTCCGTTAGTTTGATGACTTGTGGTTGTGGTGACTAAAATTCACCATTTGATCTAACCAGCACTATGGACCCCACCTTGTTATGAAATAATCCATTGAATAAGGATTGCTATTTGTTCTATTCTATTGGTAAATTATGAAAGGCAAGCAGCTTCTCTCGAAAAGACTTTGAGGTTCAAATAATATTAAAAGTAAGAAAAACTGTATTACGCTAAGAATTGCCTGGGTGTACGTATGAACATACGGCTTGATGCTTTGACTTTCATGTTTCAAGCCTTTCGGAGTCTTGTGTTAAATGTTGAAATTGTGCTACAATTGAAAATTGGGCTCGGTTGATCCAAGGTTCCTCAATTCATACTGGGCCTCAATTTCGGTCTTCTGGTCTTTAATTCACAAACCGAATAAATGACTTTGGCCGGGCCGGCCCAATTGAGAGTTTTACCCACATATTTTCGGGTTTGGACGAATAATCAGCGAATTCAAAAAACTAAGGGACTCAAGGTGGTGAAGTTAATACCATAAGGACTATAATGAACATATATTAAATCTCAGGGACTGGTATGAAATTAAATAATCCTTTGAAGTACAATCATAAGACTTCTCACCTCAAAACGATACAAATAGATTTTCGCGGTTATTAACCCCTCGAAGAATAAAATATATTCATCATCTTCTTCTCTCACTAAAATCCAAAATCCTCTGCACTCGGGATCTCCAGTGTGACTCCGATCGTGCACACGCTTCAAATCTCTGCTCGTATCGGTTTTTCAAATGCTTTAAATTGATTTTATTGAATAGGTAAAAGTTCCGGACTTCCCTACTTTTTCTGATCTTTTGTTTAATTCTTCTTTTTTGTTGTTAAATTTGAGTTTCAGCTCTTTAAGCTATCAACTTGTAATTTTGTTTCTTTGCTGTTAAATTTTTTGAAGTAGATTTTGGTTCAGTTTTTTATTCTTTTATTTTTTGGTTTTGATTTTGCTGTAAATTCCGTGATTTTCGGTTTTAATTATAAAAGTTTCGATTCATTTTTTTGTTAATTTGAAATTTTATTTTGGTATTTATGTGTGAATTGCTGAAAAGCGGCAGTGGGGTTGATTTAGTTTTGAAGTTGGCGAGTTTGAAAGCTGTGTAGTCTTTATGTATGAAACATATTTTTATAAATTTAAATGTGCGGATCTCGATATTGAATGTAAAATTGGAGCCACAGTGTACTGAAATTTTGGATATCAGTATAAATTATTTGGAATACGATATTTTGAGTAATTTACTAATCAGTTATATTTATGAGCAAGTTTTCGTATTGTACAATTGGAAAACGGATTTTTTTCCATGTTTCATTTTTGTATTTATTTTTTGGTGGATATATATTTTTTTGTTTGCTCAGGCCGGATTTCATTTTAAAATTATCCTGATCTATTGAAATGGGTTATTTTAATTTGCTTTTCTGCTGTGGCAATCAATTACTCGTTCAGAGTGCAAATTTATCTGGCGCCTTCTTTACTTGCACTTCTCGAATTTTTATACTGTGCTCAAATAATTTTTGAAGAGGAAATAAAGGTGCCTAGTTCGTGATTATTAGTAAATGTGGTTTAATATCTCAGCTGTCCTATATTCTGTGATTGCTACACTTCATTTTTTTAATGTTTGTTTTTTTCCCTAACTTTTTGTTGCTTGTTAATGTAGCTGTCATGGGGCCAACAAGAAAGTCTAGAAGCGTGAATAAGAGATATTCTTATATCAATGAAGTATTTCCCCATAAAGATGGAGATAGTGCTAAAAGAAGCAAAAGTAGGGTGAGTTTTTATGGTTATTTATTCTGTTCTTTGTTTACATTAATGAAATTTTTATTCTGGTCAAAATTCACTTCTTGCACAAACAAAATGTATTTGTACTCTTATTTGTCTTCTGGAAGCTTTCATAATCATCTTTCTTTCTTTTATATAAGATAGAAAATCTTTTACACTGGATTTTGCATTATTATCAAAATGTCCATAAAATGTAGATTAAATACTAATGAAGTATATTAATTCATTTTTGTATCAAATTCCTTTATTTGCTATTTTGTTAGAGATGCAGGGACTTCTTGTTCCTTCCCTTTTTACTATTAACAGCAGGCAGACTTGCTGTTAACTGAGTAGAAAACTTTCTGTTTTAATATCTTTAGAATTTGGTCAAGAGAGCTGGGAGTTGTGCTATAATCAGTGTAACAGTGACAATTGACATGGCCTTTTGAGTCTAACTGGGAAAATTGCTTAAAAATGATGGGGGAGTTTTTGTTTCAAGGACATCAGCTGCTTGATTCTTATTGCAAGTTTCAGGATGTCAAACTTGATTCATTATTAAATTTTTTCTATCAAAATTGCTTTCATGTGCAAGCTTTCTTCCTTTGAGGTCATGTTTACGTTTTTAAATGCCATATATAGTGGTTTACTTGATTTCAATTATGCTGTTTTTCTAAAACATTTCTATTAGTACATAGCTTATAATGGAAATGGAGACCAAGCACTGAGGCATCATTAGAGTGACCATTTCCATTTTTTTAATTTTTTTTTCAGAAGAGGAAGTTGTTTGACATGCTGGGACCCCAATGGAGCAAGGAAGAGCTAATTTGTTTCTATGAAGCTTACCGCAAACATGGTAAAGATTGGAAAAAGGTTAGTTAAAATGTATATAATACCGAGTATTTTGAATTACTCTATATGAGCTCTATTAATTTATCACTTAGAAATATCACTCTTAAAAAAATGATCTGGCCTTTCGCAAATAAGACAAACTTTGCCATCTTGATTTTTAAGTATATCATTGATATAGTTGGGCTTAGTATTCTTCTCGTGGACTAATGAGTGATGAGTATACTATTTTTTTGACTATTTTGTCTATTGGTAAAAGCTTCTTGTTGTTGTTTTGCATGTTTAAAGATGGCTGGTGCTGTACGAAACAGATCTGTCGAAATGATGGAGGCTCTTTACACGATGAACAGGGTAATTGTGGTTCTTTTATTCTTCAACAGAAATGACTGGTGCACATTCATCTTCTCACTACAGATCTTAGACTGAAAATCACCCTTTTCCTGTGACGTTTTTTCTTTTCCCCTGAGGACCAGTTCAGTCTAGAAAACACAGTCCCTTTTGATCCATGGAAAGATTGAGTCTACCAGAAACCTTTACTACATAATACTTTGGCTCTATTCATTATAAGTAGCCCAAAATGGAGCTTAAGACTTTAAGCCTAAATTACAATTCTTTTTTATCCTAGATTTTCTAATCAATATATCAGTAACTGCAAGAATATAAATGACTCTCCACATTGGCTTAATATTTGAAGTGTGATATGATATTGAATGCTGGTGAATGAAACATGAATTGAACAATATTGTGATGTAGAAGAGAAATAAACGTATGAATATTTTTCTGTAGAAAGAAAATACATGGAGCCATGAGGGAACTAGAAATGCGTTCTCTGCTCCAAATATGTTGAGCACCAAAATGCTAAAGTGAATAACCTTTATTGGGTGTGACTGTTAATAACCCTAAAATTATTAAAACTTAACTGTTAGATGGGAATGTTAATTTCTTAATTAACAAAACGACATGGACCACAATGCATAGTTTTATTTTTATCATCCTGTACATTATTGTAGAACTTCTTAAATGGTATTGTCTATTGTGGCTATGTTAAACCTTAACTGACTGTAAGGTTGAAGTTTGAAGAACTTCAAATTTTTTCAATTCAATAGGAAATAATGATTGAGAGTTTAATTTTCTTTGGATTATTAATCCAGTAATTCTTTTTCACTTCTGTAATTTCAGGCATACTTATCTCTTCCAGAGGGGACTGCTTCAGTGGTTGGGTTGATTGCTATGATGACTGATCATTACAGCAACTTGGTGAGACTACTTTAATTCTAATAGCAGGCTGTACGTTTGTGCTGCAAAATTCATGTAAAGAAGTGCTGAAAGCATTAATTTTGATAAAAACAGAATTTTGTAGATGAACAGAAGAATGTACAGGATTTGATGACAAGTGTTGCCCAATAATGAAGGCAAATATACAAAAAGAAATAAAAGATGAATGGAGAACTCCAAATGTTATGTAAATTGATTTCGCAATATGAATAATAGTAATGATTTGGGGCAAATGGTTTTTTGTTAGACAGCATTTAACTGCTTCATTCTTGTCCCCAGAACCCTAAGTGATATTTAATATACCTTTTTTCCTCCTATCTCTCTCCCTCAAGTGGAAGCAATATTTGAAAAATCAAAACTCTAGTTCCAAACCACAGTGGAATTGTTGAAATTAATGGTATATCGTATCATGAACAGTGTTCTTCAAGTTTCTTGTGCAATTTGTTCTACAAGACTGCTTGCAGTTAATAAATATTGAGAGTATTTGATACTATTAAATTCCAGTTAGCGCTTTCTTAGTTTTGACAAGGTAATACTGTGGGTCTTTTCGAGTTTTGATAGACATTGTAATGGCTTGTGAATCCTTAGTCTTGTAGAACTTGGCTTGACAGGCAGGAAGTGATAGTGAACAAGAAAGCAATGATGGAGCAGGATCATCTCGGAATTCTCAAAAGCGTGCTCGGGGAAAACTCCAACCCACTACCTCTAAAAAATTGGACGTACAATTTATTTCACATTCCCAGACTGTTTCACCAAATAATGGTTGTGTGTCAGTGTTAAAGAAGAAACGCTCTGGGGGTATGTTATGTAAAACATAATTCAAGCTCTGGCATGTATGCAGTAATGTGCTCTCTCCATGTGTTTCCCCCTTAATTGCATCCAGCCCCTCGCATTCTGGTGCAAAGACAAAAATGTATCTTCACCACTGCACATTCATTAACAAACTGGTGATAGCACACAAGGAGCTTCTTTTTTGAATTGACCATTAATTGGCTTCTTCTTTCTCTACCATATTTGTTGAATGATTTGCATTTAAACTTCCTAGATGCCAATGCAGGCATGAAGAAAAATCAAATCTTTAAACATATAGATGCATTCCCCTTTTATGAACATTCAAATATTTTTCTGAATAGCAGCCTTTACATAAAGAGAATCCCTATATGCTATAAGGATAAACCTTGCTCTTAGTTTTCATTTTATGAAATACTTCCAGCTAGGCCATAGCATAACTCACATCGTCGACCGTCATTGTTGGTTTCGTGCACATTTTGGTGTCAAATGACATTAACACGCCAACCGATGTCTCAAGTTGAGAGAGTTCACAGATAGTTTTTCCTTTTCATCTGCTGTAATAAGAGTTGCTCTCAGATGTAACTGAGATTTTTCCTCTGGAGTTTGTTTCAGGAAGCCGACCTCGTCCTGTAGGAAAAAGGACACCAAGGTTCCCTGTTTCATTTTCATATGAAAATATCAATGCGGAAATGTTGTCTCCTCCAACCAGGCAAGGATTAAAGTTAAATGCTAATGTCAATAATGAAGAAGTTGCTCATGAAATAGCCATAGCTTTGGCTGAGGCTTCACAAAGAGGTGGTTCTCCCCAGGTTTCTCAAACACCAAATAGAAGAGCTGAGAGTGTTATGTATTCACCTTTTAGGAACACTCAAAGAAAGGTAACGGTTTTGACCTCATTTAACAGCACATGCTTCTTTGTACAATTTATGGACCTATTGTTGGTTATAGCATTCTGTACCAGCAACGGCTAATGCGAAGCTCTTGGATATGGATGAAGAAGATTTGGAAGGAAGCATGGAAGCTGAAACTGGAGAGTTGACTAGGAACGAATCTCATAGGACAGAATCTGAAAGCCCTGGTACAGCAAGACAGAAAGGGAGAAAATTTAAATCCGCTAAGGTTGAAGTGGATTACAATAGTGAGAATCATTTGAATGACGTCAAGGAAGAATGTAGCAGGACGGAGGAAGGTCCAAGGATTGGTACAATTAGAGGTGACGTCGAGGTCACAGAACCCAAAATTTCAAGGTCCTCCATTGGTCAGAGAAAGAAAAGCAAAAAGGTTCTTTTCGGGAGAGGTATATCAATTCTTTATGTATTCTTGTTGTGTCATGTTTCAATCCCTTTTTGTTCTCTGAATCATGTTCTTGTATGATTGCATAGCTGAGAGTGTATGAGAGATTTAGTCACTTTTAGGAGACGTCGACCTAAAATTCCTTAGATGCATTTGTCATTTTGTATCTGTCAATAATAGATCATGTGGTTGAAATAGGAATTAATATGCTAGCCTGTTGTGGAAGCTTGTTGACCAAGCTTTTTTGTTTCTTATATTGAGCTTAAATTATTATAGCCTTAACTTCACTCTGCTTTCTCCTTTGTTGTTTGCCCTACATTTGCTTGCACAAGTATTTCAGCCTAATTATGCAAAAGAAGTAAACATTTTAAGAATTCCTATACAATTTTATTAGGGATAAGAAACTTTATTGTTGAATGTGGGGGCGGGGACGGAGATTGGAAACTACTGCAACACATTCGTTTGTCAACTGAGATCATGTTGCCCGAGAGATTCAATACACAATCTCTTAGGATATAGGCCATTTTATTTTAAAATAATGTGGACTGCTCTATCATTGTCGAGGTTGCTGCATTGTAGAATAACCTTTATTTGTTAGACACTTTACACCTTTTTTTCCTTGACATAAATTTGTTTATGGTAAGAACTATTTATATACTATACCAGTTTCCACTAACATCAAGCATCATGATGTTGGTATATGTGATCTTTGTAGATGAAGATGCCTTTGATGCCTTGCAAACTTTGGCTGATTTGTCTTTGATGATGCCAACAGAAAACGAAGAAGGTAAATAATAATGTTTACCTTTTTTTTTTTTTTTTTAAATATCATTGGATGGGCCAGATTGACCATATAAATTATTTAATCCAGTTAATTGCTTATCATGCAACTTGATTTAGTTTTTTATGTTGGCATTCAAATTCTCTGCTTGATACATTTCTTATCAGGTTCATGCTTTTATATACCAGTTTCATATAAAAGAGTGCTTTATCCTTGTATTCCTTAGGACACAGATTTTGTGTAACTTTTGGTAAATGTGATGATGATGATACAGTCTCCGCAAATGTTTTTAATAATGATTTATAGGTTTATTTCTTCAGCAAGCAGTTAAAAATGTCAAGAGGTGAAAATTGTTTTGTCTGCAGTTTATCAGTTCTATTATTGAGGAGTTTTTATAAACAATTTCAGCTCACTTTTGGATTTCTACTCTTTATTTTTTGAAGTTTCGTTGAATGTTTTCATTAGATCAAGCTATTGCAGTTTATGGATTTACCATGTCAGTCGTCCGTGGAATTTATGTCATTATTTGGTTTTTCCAGTCTTCATTGATCATATATGAATTTATTCTTTATTCAGCCAAAACTTAATTCAATCTCATTCCGATGTGTCAGAGTCAAGGATTCAGTTAAAAGATGAAGATGATCATGTTGATGAATCTGAGTCATTGGAAGCTCAGCCAGTAAACCAAAAAAGGGACAGACGTAGATCCGCAGGGGTTAGGATGAACGGTTACCTATCAATGACAAATTCTGAAGTGGCTTCTAGTAAAACGTCTAAACGTGCAAAAGGTTCAGTTTCCGGTGTTAGTGCTATCGCTGAAGAAAACCCGGATTCTCATCAATCTATCTCCAAAACATCAAGCAGAAAGAAAAAGATGCTAGCGCCTAAGGTGAGATTGGACAGTAAAACTTCTTTCAGCTTTGTTCATCATCATTATCAAATCTACTTTTTGGCATGAAATGAATAAATATGTTATTGCAGATTCAAAATATTGAAGCTCATCCTGGTGAATCCCTAGGGGTTGAGGTAACTTTATATTCCTCATCCATTTCTTTTGTCTTGCACAATAACCTTTCTTCAGAGAATAATGGAGCTTCTGCTCCCTCATTTTGAATAGCACAGATCACATTCACAACCTTTATAAAATTGTTAGTGTTGTTTTGACCTTTTCTTTGTTATTGAGATAACATAGTTATCAGACACTTAGAAATACATTTCGCATCTCAAATAGTACATTGATTACCCTAGCCAGTGTCTTTTCCAGTCAAGAACTCACTGAATTCAAATTAGGCTGGAGATTCAGGGAAGAAGTTGATGAACAAGAGTAAGAAAGCTTCACAAACTGTTTCGCCAGAACTGTTGAAAGTTTCTGAAAATTCTTCATGTGCTGATCTACAAAGGGAAGGAAGTGACACGGCACAATCAGCTGATCAGGTCCCTGCTGTTGACCAGGTTAACTTACCTACTAAAGCCAGGAGCAGGTGTAAGATGGACCTCAAAAAGCGAAATAAAATTCCAACTGACCAAAGTAACGCGCCTTTTTCCTCACTGCAGGACAGATCATTTAATCATAAGGTTTAATAATACCCGGTTTTTTCAATTTGATGTTTGGTTATTCATGTATTAACTTCCTTCCTTTTTTTCTTTTTGTAGAAAATACTGTCTAATTGCCTATTGAATCCTCATTTTCGGAGATGGTGTGCATACGAGTGGTTCTACAGTGCAATTGATTATCCTTGGTTTGCAAAACGGGAGTTTGTTGAGTATTTGTATCATGTTGGATTAGGTCATATTCCAAGGTTAACTCGTGTGGAATGGGGTGTCATAAGAAGGTATGTCTCTAGCTAATCATTTTCATGCTGAAGATGCAGAAGTATGTTAGACAATGCTTCACATCTTCACTCTCATGTTCATGCAGCTCTCTTGGCAAACCACGACGATTTTCTGAGCAGTTCCTGAAAGAAGAAAAGGAGAAGCTTAATCAATATAGGGATTCTGTTAGAAAACATTACAGTGAGCTCCGTGAAGGTATCAGGGAAGGACTACCAACAGATCTTGCACGATCCTTATCAGTTGGACAGCGAGTCATAGCTATTCATCCAAAAACAAGGGAGATCCATGATGGCAGCGTGCTAACAGTTGATCATTCTAGGTGCCGGATTCAGTTTGACCGTCCTGAACTTGGGGTTGAATTTGTCATGGTAATTTATTCCGAAGTTGCATCATTGTTCTAATTGTATATTTTGGTATATGGTTTTTGGCTACTGTGTCACATTATGCTATTATGTTATCGCAACATTTGTATGAACTCTGATCATAATGATCTTAAACTCTTTGAAGACTTAAGTACTAACCCTCAGTATCGAGATTTTTCTTACGAGTAATTTCTATCCATGTGATATATAAGTAATCAGCACGATGAATTCCCTAGAGAAGCTATAATCTAGTTGTTTGTCATTTGGTTTAGTGAAGTTTGCTGGAAAACCGCAATTTGGCCGTAGTTTAGATGTTCAGGTTCATTCACTTGTGTTGAGTGTGCACTAGGTGTAGGAGAAGTCAAAGCGGTCTTTACTCGTACTTTCCCCATTTTTGCGGAAATGTCATTTTAGATGTACTATTCCTACAAGTTGTGTTCACTTTTCTCAAACTTCGTACCACATTAAAACATGAATATGGTATTCCACTTTGATGCTTTTATCTTATTCTGGTCCTATTGCATTTCATTCTCTTATGGAATTCTAGTTTAACTATTGAACAAGGCTCTATTTTTAATTTCATTTCTAATTGGTAAATTGCTTTATTCCAACTTCTGTATTCTTTTTAAAAGACCCTTTTCTAGAAAGAATGTGAAGCATACATCTGGTTTCATTCATGTATGCTTCTGCGTTTGATTTGTTACAATTTTATGTTCCTGCATTCTTCGTTCTACATATATTTATTTGTTATTTGCTCAATCCCATTGCTGGGATGGCTTTATAAAAATTATTTACCTTTTGCAGGACATTGACTGCATGCCCTTATATCCTTTTGAGAATATGCCCGCTTTGCTTTGGAGACATGCACTTACTGTTGATAAGTTTTTTGAGAATTTCAATGAATTGAAAATGAATGGACGAGTAAAAGAAAATGTGAATTTTTCCTTGGGTGACAATCTGGATAACGTTGATGGTCTTTCCCATTCTTCTCCAGCTCATTCTGCCAGTGGTTTATTAAAGCAGACAAAGGCATGAGTTTTGTCTCCGTAGTTTTTTATTCTTAATTATTTGGATTAAAGAATATTTAAACCTGATTCTGATTTCCTCTTTTTGGTACTTGATTCCATTGTGAAGGCACTTCCTATTATTATTTCAGATGATGATTATTTAACAGAGACTTTATATGATTTGTTTGGAATTTCCTGTGCCTGTGGCATATTAAAATCCTCCTTTTTTTTTTTTTTTCTTTTTTTCTTTTTTTTTTTTGGGAGTATCGTAGATTTAGAAGTCTTATTGTGATCCTAAGGAGGAAAAGGAACCAGATTTCTCTGATAAATTATATGACACATATGAGCAGATTGATTGTTTGATGAGTAAAGTGGGGGAATTTTTTTTCTCGAAACATGGACTTTCAATTCTAACTATCTTTATTCCAGCTACTGTGGATGAACTTTTATCTCAGTGGTTTCATTTAGGAGTTTTTCTTTAATACTAGTAGCTCATCTTCTGTACCAAAAGTTTTTTATTTTTGCTGATGAATAATAAATGTATAATTTTATAATCTTCATGAGTATCTAAACAAAGAGTTTTGTTTGCCAGATGTCTTCTGCAAATGCCATTATGCAAGCTAGGACTGGGCCTACAGAAACTACTACCTATCAACAGACTGCATATTCTCATCCTTATTCACGAGCTCCCATTCAGGCAAAAGAAGCTGATGTTCAAGCTCTCACTGAGCTGACTCGTGCTCTTGATAAAAAGGTCACAGCATCCAAACTGCTGATCTGCATATGTTGTTTTTACTTAATTGACATCGTTTCTTCCATGTTTAGCTACTAAAACCTTTGTTTGGAAAGAATTCATGAACAATTTAGTTTTCTAATTGATAGAAATGAGTGGTGGACAAGTGGATAATACTTGTGGGTCCATTAAAATGTGTGGTTGAAAATGAAGTTTGACAATTTATAAATGATTTAAATAGTTTGGCATCATACTTGTGGGTCCATTGAAATGTAGTTGAAAATGAAGTCTGACCATTTATAAATGATTTAAATATATTTTGCAAATGGAGGCTAAGTTTGTGCTAGTGTATTTGAACAGTGTTTCAATATGTATGATATATGTGGTGCATTGGAGCTGTTTGTCAAAATCAATATTACCGTGATTTTATATCAATTAAACAAACTAAAAGGGAGCTCAACATTCATTTTGTAACATGTAGGAAGCTGTTGTTCTAGAGTTGAGACGCATGAATGATGATGTGTTGGAAAATCAGAAGGATGGTGATGACTCTTTGAAAGAATCAGAGCCAATCAAAAAGCAATATGCTACTGTACTCGTACAATTGAATGAAGCCAATGAACAGGTATAGATCTCTATAAATTAGATTTGAAAATTGCCTTTGCCAATTCCATAGATCCGTAGAAGTGTTTGCAGTTAAATAGGTGCTTTAGAGCATCATTCTGTTTTGCAGGTATCTTCGGCTTTGTATTTCTTGAGTCAATGGAACACATATCAAGAGAATAGTTCACTTCTATGGCCAAGGCCAGTCAGCGATTTCAGTGATTGTGGTGGCATAATGAGCTCGCAACCTCATGAATTAGGAATACAAGTGAATGAGATCATAGATAGCTCAAGAACAAAAGCTCGAACAATGGTAGATGCAGCTTTGCAGGTACAGAAATTCTATATTAGCATTGTCATTTATATCTGCTGCTTCAGTATTCTGATAGAGCTTTTAGAATCGATTTACCATAAATACATTTGCAACTCTTATTATAGGCATGAAATAGGAGAATGAACCTTTCCTTGACGGAGGTTGAAACCCAGCTAGTTTTAACAAATAACGATGATGAACATGCATATTTACTTATAATATTTAGCCCCTGTTTGAGCTCCATTATAGACGTTGTTTGAGTCCTATTTTTTCATCAAAATACATTCTTCAACAGTGATTCGAACTAATTTCAACAACACATTTTTCAATAAAATGATATTAAACACAAATCCATGACTTTTCTTTATTTTTTAACCACACATTTTTCATCAATATATTATTCAAAAAATGCATTTTTTGACAAGAATGGGGCTCACACAAGGGCATAATTGAGTTTAGGAGAAAATGTATTTTGGAATAGTAATTTTTTGGATAATGTGTGGTTAAAATAGAAGGAAAAATTTTGGATTTACGTGTAATATTATTTTATTAGAGAATGTATGGTTCATAAGATGAGACAGAATAATTATAATTTTAACGGAGTCCAAATAGGGGCTTCGTATTTACTATAGATGTGGTGTGGTCATTTGTTGGAGTGATTTTTACCAAAATTTCCTCTCGGTATTTTGTTTCAGGCAATAGCATCACTCAAGGGTAGGGAGGATAGCACGGAGAAAATTGAGGAAGCTATAGATTATGTGAACGATCGGCTTCCATTGGATGATTGCTGCAAGCCAGGGGTTAGATCTTCGACCTTTTCCTACAAGTTTCGCATAAAATCTAAGATCAATTGATTTTATGAATGTCATAATTGTGGCAGGCATCTGATCCTAAGATGAATGCATCCGATAAAAGTGAGGCACAAATTCCTTCTGAACTGATTGCTCAATGTGTAGCTACATTGCTTATGATTCAGGTAATTCTTGGAAATACTGTGACACCTCTCTTTTTCTCTGAAAAATATGTTTGACTAAGCTTAAAAAGTTTACTTACTAAGTTTTAAATTTATTTATTTTATTTGTCAAAGTTGAGAAAACTTTACTCTTTTGACAATAAGTTAAGTGTTACTCTTAAAAAATAAAAAGAAAAAAGAAAAAGAAGAAGCTATTTTTACTTGAAAGTAAGGAAAAGTTGTCAAGATATACTCGTAGAAAAATACTTAAAAGCAACCGAACGTGCTGCATTCACGATTTTTTTCATAAGCTGACAGATTCAAGTCACTATTATGTAATTGCAGAAGTGTACGGAACGAGAATTCCCACCTTCTGATGTAGCACAGATACTCAATTCTGCTGTTACAAGTTTGCAACCGTGCTGTTCGCAGAACTTTCCTCTTTATGCTGAAATACAGAAGTGCATGGGCATCGTCAAGAACCAAATATTAGCACTGATACCTACCTAGCCGGTAAAATCAGAGCCTTTGCACTTTGTCGTCGTGAATCTTACATGCACATAGTTAACTGCTAATTTGTGTTTCGGAACCTGTAATCGTATGAAATTTTCTTCCATTCCATTGTTATTGGGATTGGTTTTTATAAGGTATTGTAGTCAATTCTTTGGTATAGTCAATTCTTTGGTATAAAACTCTGGCTTGAGAAGCTAAATTTTATAGTTTCTTGTAGAGAGCAGAGATGGTTGACAGCAACTTCGTGTTTGGCTAAGCATAATTTTTTAACTTATAAGTGAATACGCAAGTTTAGTTGTCAGTCAACTTTTCCATATGTTTTCTACTTTTAAAAGTTTCACAAGTTGGCCATTGAACTTTAAAAATCTTTTGAGTTGCCGTTAAATTATCTCCACCACACTCGTGGAAATTTTGCTTGCAATATCATCGAGTCTATTAACTTTTAAAGTGACGAGTGATGTGAAAAATGAGATAATATTTTGATAGGTTTAATAGCAACCCGAAGAATTTTTAAAAAATTATGGTAACTCAGAAATCCTTTAAGCAATATTTAGTGTAACTCAAAAAAACTTTTAAGAGTTAAATACAAAACATTTAATAAAGTATAGTGATGAATGAGATATTTTTTACAACGGGTAGGCTGTGGCGGATCACGTTGAATGAAGAAGCTCATGTCTTCCCTTCCGAGCCTCCATGAATGAGAGGTCAGTTGGGCAATCAATCAAATTTACATTTGTTTGGGGTGAGCTCAACGATGGACTATGGTGAAAATTTTCATTTTTGACCTCACAGATCAAAATGTCTGGGTCCGTCCTTGTTTTTAACTATATATTATTCATCAATCTACTATTTCAAAATGCATTCTACACAAGAAATATGGCTGAAACAGGCACTAAATATAATGGACTATTAGTATTCACTCTCATACCTCACGAGTTTTCAAAAATCCTTTACATTCTATTTCTTGAATACTAAAATTGATGCTTGGACGAGTCAAACGGTGAGCGAATACCCCAAGTATAATATTTCTCATTATGAGAAAATATTTGATTCAGTCACGTTTGATGTAAATATGCTGGTAAAAAAAATTATAATAAAATAAAATAAAATTATTTGTGGGAATCTCGTGATAATTTATGGTTTAAGGCCTCAAAATTTTTAGGATTGACCCTGACAATATGTACGCTAATAGTATGGACTGGATTTCACATGGACCATGTCCGGACACAATGGGCCATGATCCATTATATATATATATGCTGAGATACCATAAAACAAGATTTTCCTCTCACCGTTGTTCCAAATGCCCAAAAGAAATCTTGCGTGTGTGAGTGTATGTGTGTGTATATATATATATATATATCAATCAGGGAAATAATTCTTTTACAATAACGAGTCGTCTGATTCCTGAGAATGAAATATTAACCGCGTGAGTAGCTATTTACCTTACGAAACCCAAAGAAGGAACACCCATTTCAACAGTCAGATAAAATCCACTCTTTCAAGATAAGCAACTTTTTTTTTACTTAAAAGTAACATGCACAGACTTGTTTAAGCAGCCAGTAGGTTTTATTTACTTACTTTCAAGCTTAACGTGCTCTTATTTTTAAGGAGCAAAAAGCCAAGAATAGTTCACCTGGCTTGGATAATCTATCCATGACTTTATGCAGAGGATCGGACCGCAGACACACGTGACATCTTTGATTCTTGTAGTCGTACGATGTGATGGGGTCATCGCAACGCCTAAAATTCCAAGAGTATGTATTTTCAATCAATTAAGTTAATACGGAAACGAAAATACTTAATATGAGAAACAATGGATAATGTGCCGTATTTTAAGTTAATACGGAAAGGAAAATACTTAATATGAGAAACAATGGATAGGGTCATGTGCATCTCATCTCTGAATTCCATAGGTAAATAAAGGTCACAAGTTAGAAAACAACTGCATCTTTTTTTCAATAAATTTCAATTCAATTAAGATTCTGTTTGACACCCATTATTTGAAAAATTAAAGAATTTTGAATAGTATTTTTGGAGAATGTGTGGTTAAAAAATAATAAAACTTTATTGATTTGTGTGTAGAATATTTTATTATGCGAATGTATGGTGGAGAATGATACTGTAGCAAAAAATTTAAATTTTTAAAGATTGTCAAACAAATGCTAAATTGCGCAAAATTCTATGTCAATACATCAGAACCATGAAAGATCTGTGAAGTTCACATATACCATAAACCTATAATTCCTCTAGATCTACTCATATACTTACATCGTATAAATATATATAATGATTATTAACATCTTCCAATTATATGAATTCCAAATCAAGTTTCCGGTCCCAGCTAATGTCTTTTCTTGTCAAGCAAAGACAGAATGCACCTATGTTCCTTAAATGGTACGAAATGAAAATGTTGCGTGTGGTGCCAACACAAAATAAATGTGCTTACCTGATGAATAGTTGATTCTTCAATATTAATGCGTGTATAAATTTTGTCTTTTGCCAAAAAAGTAATATCACTGTCAAAAAAAGGAGTCTTATATTACAAAAAATGAGACTGGATATCGGTTCCAATTGCCTGAAACGCATAATTTGAATGCTATAAGCACACCACAACTACAGGCACCACTAACGTTCTAGAATATGTTGGAAATTATGTTGGTGAAATGATACCGAATTTACGGGTATCGTATATGCATTTTAGATACCGTATATGTAGTTTAGTACCGTAAATGCACAGATTATATATTGAATTTGCACAAACTTGATTTTACGCATACAATAAGATTAAATATCGGGTTTTCTCATATCGATTTATAATATTAGTTAATTACACAATAAACTAAATTATCATAAACCACAATATATTAATCTAATTTAGAACTAAATTATATTAAGTTATGTAAGACACGTTAATTTAATAAATCTAAACGGAAAAACTGAAAATTAATAGAAATTTAAAAAAAAAAAATTAACGACATGTTTATAACTTCATATAAACTTTTAACCCGAAACCTGTGTAAATATAGTGTCATTAAAACAAATTTGTCCTCTCACCGTACATGCTTGAGTTTTAATCCGAGCGCCTGTTTCCCAGGATACAACGGTATATAGTAGAATCTGAGCACCGCAGATACTACTCTGGCGAACTCATCTAGTATCCAAACAATATCACCACAAGAACAAGACCTTACTGGACAAGGAATGCAAATAAGAAACTATGTATGCAAGAATGTAGGTGCGATTTTCGAGTGTATTAGATTGCTGGAGAATGAGCCTTTTTATAGGCATACTGCCCATTAATATTGTGACCATTGGGAGTCCATTGGAGTTTTTGCAATTTAGAAACTCAAAAGTCATTGGAAAAAGCCAAAAAATTTGACAAAACGTGGGCTCTCCGATGGGGCCCTTTTTGCCTTGTTTGGTCCGACATTCGTATGCGCAGGTCGTGCCCGCACCCAATTTCAAGGTCCGAAAGCCATTTCGGTTCGTGATTTGCACCCCCCTGCGTGCGCACGTGGAGAGAGCTTCTATGCTACACACGATTACACATCTCCAAAGTATAGCCGTATATAAAGTGGTTTAAGTTTCCTTGATTTTCTTATGTGGGATAAATGCATTTTTAACCACAAAACCAACTTCCAATAACCAATTTTGAGCTTCAATTTCTCATTCACCCGAGCTTCATTTTTGGCAAATAAATACAGGAAATCGATGTTCTCGCGGAGGAGAACATATATCGACTTTGATATTCCACATTGGACCAACGGGGTCCCATCGAAAATTGTGCCAAAAGTGAGCCGCTCACTCAATTTTTTCCAACAATCCCCACATGAATGAAAATTGGGAAAGACATGAAACGTGAGACACAAGACTTGGTGATAAAGTTCAACGATTGAATCCTGCATAGAATAGGTAGGTGTTACCCTTTGAACCTTCTCTTGTGCAAGCATATATACTTTACTGGCTGACCAGTAGACGCGGTGTCCTTGAACTGTTCTGTCGTTTGTGTAAGCGATGATATACCTCACACAGGATTCCTCTTAACACAATCCAGTTCTCATTGTTATGTTCATTTTGGCCATGAACATATACTTGGTTCTGTGAGAGTTCTTAAGAATTGAGCTCCACACAATTCTCTTAGAAGCGGCCTCACTTTTCTCTCACATAAGTGATTTCTTATTACAAGTAACCCGCATTACTTTGCTCGATTTACGACGCACAAGAATCATTAAATGCCTATTGCTTAACCTTCAACCTTATGGGCATCACTGTTACATCATAGGAATAGACAGGAGGTAATATCCCCACAGTGATTTTATCAAGTATTTACAGTTAGGTTTTTCCATTGAACCTAGATCTTGGGATCTCCAGTCAACTAGGTTGGGTTTTCTTTTATAATGACTTATTCTTTCAAGGGCTTAAGTCTTATTCCTTTCGATGATTTCATAACTAACTCTCTATTTAACCCTTTGGTTAGCGAATCCACAATGTTATCTTTTGACCTTATATAGTCAATAGTGATAACTCCAGTTGAGAGTAGTTGTCTTATGGTATTGTGTCTACGACGTATATGTCTAGACTTACCATTATATATGTTACTCTGTGTCCTTCCTATTGCCGATTGACTGTCAAAATATATGCAAATTGCTGGCACAGATTTTGATCATTTTGGAATATTCTCTAAGAAGTTGTGCAACCATTCAGCCTCTTTACCACATTTATCTAGAGCTATAAACTCAGATTCCATCATAGATTTGGCTATAACCGTTTTCTTAGAGGATTTCCACGATATGGCAGCACCACCCAATGTGAACACATATCCACTGGTGGATTTTGAGTCTTTTATATTAGATATCTAATTAGCATCACTGTATCCTTCAATGACTGCTGGATATCTAGTATAATGTAGTCCATAGTCACGAGTATATCTTAAATACCTTAGTACTCTTACAATTCCTTTCCAGTGATCAGCTCCTGGATTACTCGTGTATTTATTTAATTTACTGACTGTATAGACTATGTCTGGTCTAGTACAACACATTAAGTACATTAGACTTCCGATAACTCTCGAGTATTCTACTTGAGAGATACTTTCTCTTCTGTTTTTAGACAGATGTTGACTCGTATCTTGGTGTTCTAGCCAAGCCAATATCATCCTTATGGAATTTTCCTAAAATTTTGTCCACATAATGTGACTAACTTTCACCAGTTTACAGACTTTCTTTTTCTGTCCTGTG